ATAAAACTGTAAAGGACATAAAATATACTATTACATATGAAATTTGAAAAAGTTTTCTCAAAAAATACCTTTTATCAACTTAAAGAATTTCTTTTCTAGGTCAAGTTTGCTAATTTTTTTTTAGTTTCACATGCAAGCATTGAGATGTTATTTATTAATGTGGTAAATTACACAGGTTGAGATTTCATGTCGAATTATCTTTGAATAAAGCCTACTTCATCAGTTCACGTGTGTATATTGATAGGCTGCTAGATTCAACTTGCTAATATTTTATTTGGGATTTTTGCCATTATATTTATAATTAAGATTGGTATATAATTTCTTGCATTTTTCTTATCTGGCATAAATACTAATAACCATACCTTCTTCTTCACCTGAGTTGGCCAGACATTTTAGTCTACGGTAGGGAGAAATTAAATCTTCATCCACCATAAGAAGAAGCCAATAGATAAAGTAAAATTGATTAGTCATAAAATAGCAATATAAGAATTATTGAAAAATAACGAGAAGGAACATCTGAAATAATTTAAAGTGGTTGCCTCTAGAAAATAACAGTAATTAAACTGGGAACTGCTTGCTTGTTTTGTTTTGTTTTGTTTTGTTTGTAAAAATAATCTTTTTAGTACTACTTTTTTGATCCATGCTTATGTATTGGATAAAAACTAGAGAAAAACAGATCTCACAGAACTCAGAGACATTTATGGTACAGAATCTATTTTGAAATCATGACATCTCCTGTTAATTTTTTTTCCCCAGTGAACACATATGGAAATCATGGGTTGCATTTTCCATGTAATATATTTTGCACTTTCCTCTCTCTGAACACATGAAGGTTCTTCCCTCAACCCTGAAGCATGTCAAAATATTAATTTTATTGCATGCTTTCTAATGGAGGGTGGTTAAAAATGTTTGAAAACACTTTTAACCACTCTCCATTAGAAAGCATGCAATAAAATCATCATTACATTTATTTTAAAATGTCCTATAAAGTACTTCTGATCTGGTTACAGAATTCTATAGAGGTCATGCACTGGTGTGTGTGTGTGTGTGTGTGTGTGTGTGTGTGCGCGCGTGCGCGCACGCGCGTGGCATCTGGTTGAGTGAGAGGTCTTGTCGCTTTGCTTGGACAAGTAGTTCAGAATACAGTGTTGGTTGTTGGAGGGATCCTTCAGTGATGATGCCATCAGCAGACATAATCTAGACCCAATCTGGGCCTACTGGGTAGGGCTGGCCCTTTAAAGACACTGGCCCACCATCAGCTGCTCCTGTTAAGGCTGACACTAAAGAGGAGAGTATATCTACCACTTGTAATATTATCAATTTTAATCAGAATTCTAACTGGTAGTAGGTAATGTGAAACCCAATGATGACAAAAGGTGTTCTTTTTGATTTGTTTTTGTTTGCAATGAAAATTGATTTTTTTTCTGTTAAAACAGTTAAAGCAGTAGCTTTTGAGTTTTGTGGGCTCTTAAAAATTGCTGCTATTTGTTTGCATATTTGTTTTGCCTTGTAACTTAGCCTAGGGGAGGTTCAATTTTCTTTAAATTAAAATTTTCCTATTTAATCAGCATTTCAGATTGACTGGAGCAGACTGCTGCTCCCTCCTCTCTTTTGTTGTTATTGTTATTATTATAAATTTAAAAGTGTTTAAAGCAGTAGTTTATCTTGGTAGGGTACTTTTCATTGAGAATCGAGGCCACAAGTGGTTATCATTTTGGAACTTGGAAAAATTCTTAAAATTGGGCTTTCAGACTCCTAGAATAAGTCTGCTTTCTTCTGCTATTTGTTCTCCTTATCAACCTTTTTGAAGAGTTTCAGACTAACCGTTTCAATTCTGGAGGCTGGCTGGCTATGGTATTTCGAGGCCATGATTGAGTTAAGGGGATGAATGCTAGATAATAAAAGGAAGGGTGATGAAGTTTAGGGACTAAATTGACATTCACCTTCTCATTAGATTGGAGAAAGGGCAAGTATAGTAGATATGGACCTACTATAGTTGATTGGGTTAAAGTGTGGCTGGTTGGGTTATGTAATTGAAAAACCAATCTGATTTATGTAATGTCTAATAAAGATAATCATATGGGGAGCCTGGAGAGAAGAAGATACTGGTAACTTTGTGTATCTATGGGTATTAGAGGCAGTGGAGGGTGTAGAGGTTTTCTATAGGAGATGGCATTTGAGCTGATCTTGAGGGCTGGCACAGTGGAGAGCAGGACTCTCTAGGAAAATTATACTCAAAGGTAACAGTTTTGAAAGAATATGTTCTATTCAAGAACAGTAAAAAGTTCAGCGTGGTGCTGCATAGTGTGAAGTGTCAGGAAATGAGTGTGTGGGTTTCATTATTAGAGACCTTGTAGAAAAAAGGATTCCAATTAGATTATAAAAGGGAGAGATAGAGACTTTTCCAGTAGGAGAATAACATTATCAGGTTTATTTCTTATAAGGATTACTGAAGATATTATATAGAAGATAGACAAGAATAAGATATACTGATGATAGAGCACCTATGAGGAGGTTTTAGGTGAATAAAAAAAAAATACAATTCCTAAATTAAGATGAGTGATGAGAAGTGGGAGATGAAGGGCAGTAGTCCAGAAAAAAACTAGATTCTTTTTTTGGCCAGTTTGGTGAGTGGTAACACCATGATATTTCTTCTTGGCATGTAGTTTCCATAAAAGATTGGCATCTATTTCAAAGCCAGTTTCAAGAAATGTTAAGAGATTCTGTAGCGGAAAGAACATTTAATAATCCAAAACTTTTAGGAAACACAGAATACTCTATACCCTTCTTGGGGAGTCACAGTGGAAACAGGCATATTAAAGACTCACAGTAAAGAATCTATTAAATTTTCTTTAACTCAGAGTTTCTGAATTAGTTTTCTGAATTTAGAACCCTCTTTTAACAGAACACATATTTGGGGGAAACTGCTATATAGAAGAGCTCTAACTAGATAGAATGCAGTTTTTATGCTATGAAGTTTGGGAGGGGGATGTAGGATTCTATTATCCAAGAATATCTGTGTTGGAATCAGAAGAAAGAACTCTATTCAGTTGTGTGCTGGCAAATATTTGCCAGCCAACTTGGTTTGGGGAGAGGCAGGAGCGTCTTGGAGGTGTGAGGAGATACAGAAGGAGTTATGAAATAGTTGTCTTGAAGAGCAGGACAACAGACTCGCTGCTGGGGCAGTATAATAGAATTTGCAGGCAGTTTTGAATATCTTTTGGAAGTTTGAGGTCATGAATTTATAGTGAGATTAGACAGAACCAATTGTGCCATTTTCTCCAGCAACCTTCAGCAGCCTGGGTTTAGGAACGAAGAAGACGGGGGCTGGGTTTAACCAGGATTCAGGTTTTTCTGGGAAAGGAAAGGAGCATGAGAGTTATGAATATGTGCTATTTCTGATGTGTCAGGAGAGAGTAAGCATATGAAGGTGTAATGATAATAGAGAGGAGATAGGGTTTTTGAATGCAAGAGCTCAAGCTATCAGAGGACAGCTGGAGTTTGGGGCACTAGGTAAGTAAGTGGAAAGAAAAGGAAGTGATAGTTAAGATTTTGGAGATGGGGCATTTAGTGATAAGGACTAGGGTGTGGCAAGGGAAGAGATTATCAGAAGCGAGGAGGTCAAAGTGTTGGGTAGGTCATGCTGAATTGTGTGGATGAGGACGGAGGAGGAAGGCAGCTGAGCCAGGTGCTAATCCTCAAGGTTTCAAGAGGACAGGGAATTTCAGAGATGACAGCAACAACAGGGCCAGTGGTGCTGGAACTACATGAGCTTTAAAGGGGTTTTATAGAAAATAGAAGAAATGTTTTTGAAAGAGCAAAGACACTCATGACACGTTTAGATTTTAGACTTTGAGATGATGTGAAACATCAGAGGAAAACCACCTCTACTTCAGGGAGCTGCAGGGAGAAATGATCTCCACAGGGAACAGCCAGGTTCCACTGTTAGGCAAGAAGGCAAAGGGAAGGTTTGGAGAGGTGGCTGAGAATTTAGGAGAGTATGCTAATGAGGTGCTGCATTCCAGAGGACTGTGGAAAAGTTTAGGAGGGTGGGGGATGGTTGGACACTCACGGGATGAAGGTCCAGATGATGACAGAGCTGCAGTGCATGAGATGGACTGTTGGCTCAAGCTGAGTTCAATACAATTATGGTTGGGGATGCCTCACTCTGCTTTGGCTGAAACACCAAAAAGGCAGTTTTGTACTTAGATCTCCTCTGCCCGCTCCAGTTCCCGCTATGCCTTGTTTCCCACAGCAAGCAGGGCTGTATCCACACTGTTTCTAAACACTATGGCATTGGGTACAAGATGGACTCAACAAGTATTCATTACAGAAATGATTCTTAAACAAGTGATAGGGACAGCACTAACATGGCCCTGTCCCCTCGGTAACATATTAATGGAGACTTAGCTAACATTACTATCCTCTAGGGAAGTACTGGAAGATGATTCTGTCTGACTCTTCTCCCCTCACTTGCTGTGTCCCTTGGAGGAGCCATGTATCTGATTGAGGAGATAGAGCCAGCCTTGGTGGTTGTGGGGTAGGGGGGTGCATTTTGCTCACAGACTCTGTTTTCCTGTGGTCAACACACCGGAATTCAGGCCCGAGTTCACTGCAGGCCTACTTTCTTGGTGCTCTGACTTTTGCATGTCTGTGCTTGACAAGATAGGGGTATCTGGACAGGTAAGAGTTTGCTCTGTCGACCAACCCTCTCCATGTGTAGCTCCCAAAACTTAGCCTTGCCCTGTCCAGTATGAGAGCCACGAGTCATCTGTAGCTAATCAAATTTAAGTTAATTCAAATAAAATTAAATCAGTGCCTTGATGGCACTAACCACATTTCAAGCGCTCAATAGCCTCACATGGCTACATCCAAGCTAGCATAGCTACGGGACATTTCCATCCCTGCAGAAAGTTTTTTAGAACGCACTGATCTATACCATTAGTCAAGATGTTATTTTGGTCCCCATCTAACTCCTGTGTTTTTCGTCATTGATGCAGAATCTACAAGTTAGCCACAAAACTCGCAGGCGTGGCTTTGGACGTGCGGAGCTGCAGGCATGGCTCAGTACAAGGGCACCATGCGCGAGGCCGGCCGGGCCATGCACCTGATCAAGAAACGGGAAAAGCAGAAGGAGCAGATGGCGGTGCTGAAGCAGCGCATCGCCGAGGAGACCATCATGAAGTCGAAGGTGGACAAGAAATTCTCGGCCCATTACGACGCTGTGGAGGCCGAGCTGAAGTCAAGCACGGTGGGTCTGGTGACACTGAACGACATGAAGGCCAAGCAGGAGGCCCTGGTGAGGGAGCACGAGAGGCAGCTGGCCAAGAAGGAGCAGCTGGAGGCGCGTAGACAGCAGCTGGAAGCGCTGCGCGACAGGGAGCGCAAGCAGAAGCAGAAGCGCCAGATCTCTAGCTTGTCCTTCACGCTCGACGAGGGTGACGAGGGCACCGACGGCTCAGCAGCAGAGGAGCAGTCTCAGTTATCGAAGGTGATGAGCAAGAGGAAAAGAAACCTAGGGAAGAATCCGGACGTGGACACGAGTTTTCTGCCTGACCGCGACCGAGAGGAGGAGGAAAACCGGCTGCGGGAGGAGCTGCGGCAGGAATGGGAGGCTAAGCGCGAGCAGGTGAAGCGCGAGGAGATGGAGGTCACGTTCAGCTACTGGGACGGCTCAGGGCACCGGCGCATGGTGCGCATCCACAAGGGCGGCACCGTGCAGCAATTCCTCAAGAAAGCCCTGCAGGGCCTGCGCAAGGACTTCCGCGAGCTGCGGGCAGCCAGCGTGGAACAGCTCATGTACATCAAGGAGGACCTGATCCTGCCCCACTACCACACCTTCTATGACTTCATCGTCACCAAGGCCCGAGGCAAGAGCGGGCCGCTCTTCAACTTCGACGTGCATGACGACGTGCGGCTGCTGAGCGACGCCACCATGGAGAAGGACGAGTCACACGCCGGCAAGGTGGTGCTGAGAAGCTGGTACGAGAAGAACAAGCACATCTTCCCCGCCAGCCGCTGGGAGCCCTACGACCCGGAGAAGAAGTGGGACAAGTACACAATCCGATGACACCTCTTGCCCTGCCCCACCCCTACT